ATGGAGATTTCCTCGTTTTGTTTTTTTTGGTTCATTCAGCTTGGTGAAATGCTTATTGGTGAATATCTTAAGGAGGTTAGTGTTTCGAGTAAATAATTACTGTTTTATAGGTGCTCCGCTTTTAGGCTTGACTGGGAGCGTAAGCAAACACGACGGCGGCAACAATATGGTGTGCAGCGCCCGTTTGTTATAAATCCTCTACAAAACAATCAACGTGAAATGGCCAAGTTTTGCACATTTTTGAGAACGTAAGGCAAGACGGCTTATTTTGATATTCCTTTAGGAATTGATTGCTGGCACTGCATATTGAGTTGGACCAGGGTTTTGGACAGATCAGCAAACAGATCTGGGCAATTGCAAAATTCGGAGGTAAATGCAAAATCCCAGCGTTGTTTACTTGGGGTCGTCCTTGGCTTTGGGTCGGTCGGATACCCAAACTGACAAATTTGGAATCCAAATGACCCATTTTCGGTGTATTTCTCGTGAAGAAACACGTACAGAGAGTAAATAATGTATTCAAATTTTATTCCGACACTCATGAAATGAGTATAAGGTGTGGCCATCCCTTGCAAAGAGGAATCTTCGTCTTTAAAAATTGGTTAAAAGTTAATGGAAATAACTGCATATCTTATGATAAAAATTGAGATAGAAACTACAGTAACTCGAGTTTCACGCTCAAAGCGATCATCAGACTGTGCTCATAGCGGCGGTTGAAACAAAATCTTAAGTGACTCATGAAGGGCGTGTGGAGCGATCCTGTTCCTGATTGGTTGCATAGAACTTATTCTAGTGCAGGCATTTTGTTAAAAGTTCAGATCTTTTGTTTAGAGCACAGTTTGACGATCGCTTTAAGCGTGAAACTCGAGTAACTATAGTTACTCAATTTGTATTTCGCTCTACATGTATTTGTATCGAGCACTCCTACGATTGTGTGAAACCACTCCCATTTCTCTGGTTTTTCTTTGTTTATCTTATGATAATATATATTCTAGGCGCTGTTGGTCGACGAAAAAGGCCGAGGAAGCTACCTGAACAGACCTGTAACTGACTAAGTACCACAACAACTATCACGTCCAAAATCTACCTTCTGGTAGAACGGGAACTACTAACATAAGACTAAGATATGTTATATCTTGTTTTACATGTATTATACGGCTGTCTCAAAAGGACCGGGAACTACAGAATTCACGAATTTGATTCGCTGAAATCGATATTGACCGAGGTCTAGATTTTCCCATCTAGACCGGCATCTGACTCATCTAGACCGATTACATTTTGCGGTGAAAAAATTAACGTTGCAAACTAAAATACAAAAAAATATTGACTATTTTTTTATTCCAAGAATATTAGTAGAAGTGCCAAAAATGCCTGTTGAGAAAAAAAGTAAACAGGACGGGCAAAATTTGGCAGATTTAAGTTCAGCTCATCGCCGTTTGCAAGCAAAAGCTTAGTTGGTCTGTATGACAGAATCTTGACCTCGGTCGTGTGTACAGACCTCACTGCGTTCGGTCTGTACTGACGATCCCGGTCAAGATTCTCTCATACAGACCTCCTGCTCGGTTAACAAGAGCTAAATGAAAACTATTAACAATGTTATGCAAAGATTGCATTACAATTAATTGCATCCTTTACAGGCTTCTGAGTATCAAAAACTTAACAAGCAATTTTTTATTGTTCTCAAATGGCACCGGACTCGTCTTGGTTTGTTACATTACAGAGCAGTTTTCTTTGACTTTGTCAACAACAGCACCACCAAACTCTTTTACTTTTGTAATAGCCCTTTTCATAAACCCTGGTTTCTTAACTTCCTCTAACTGCTTTTCAACGTGCGTTAGCTGCTCCTGCATACCATGCATCATGTCCATTCTAGACTCCGCGGCCTTTCGGTATTCTTCTGTTAAAGCATTGCGCTGAGCCTCTATCTTCGTCTCCATTTCGCGACGCAGCTTCTCCTTTTCTTCCCTGTGCCGAGCCTCCATCCTCTGTAGTAATTCTTGCCTTTTACTTTCAGCTTGTTTCGCTTTCTCCATCTGTTCATCTAGACGCCGTTTCTCTTCCTCTTGCTTAGACACTAAGTCGGACAGCTTTTTTATCATCTTCATGTTCTCTTCGTTTGTTTTTTGCATGGCCAAGAACTGGTTTTTAAGTTCTTCATTTTCTTGCATGAATCGCTCTTTTTCCTGCTTTGCTTGTTCCATATTTGCTTCCATCATGTTGTTCATCTGCTCTCGTTGAGCCCGCAGTTCACTGTCCATCTGCTCACGGAATTTCTTTCGCTCTTCACTTTGTTTTTCGCCTAACATTTCCATCTATTTTTAAGAGAAAAACAAAATATACACGCGAACCTGCAGTTTACTGTTCGCCAACTGACTCACATTACTTCGACTATTTGTCAAGCTTAGCGTAGTCCTTGACTGCCATGGGTGCTTATTGTTAACGCGAGCTAAGTTAAAAATCAAACTCGGATTTACTGAGGGCTGGACTTGCGGCATAATGCTAGTGTTTAATCTATCGATTCAGACATGGAAGTTAGTGTCCTTAATTACTTTTTCCCCCAAACTCTAAAGGTAAAGTCTGGATACGAGCCAACTTGCCCATCAGACCGGAGCTTATCCCGATTTCAGTAGCATGAAGCGACTAGGAATATTTCTACTCCCCCCTGGATGGGATGCTAGTCCATCACAGGGTTACCCCCGGCATTGAATTCGCCGGTACCCATTTATGCACCTGGGTGGAGAGAGGCACCGTGAGAGTAGTGTCTTGTTCAAGAACACAGCGCAATGTCCCCGGCCAGGGCTCGAACCAGGACCGCTCAATCTGGAGACGAGGGCACTAGCCATTAGGCCACCGCGCCTCCCAAACTCAAAGCGTCTTGTATATTCCTCTTTGTTCGCTACGAACAGTTTTAAAAGTCTTAGAAAATTATTGCAGCATTGTGACGAAACTTGTCTTCTCATTTGAGGTTTTGTTTCCCCATATTTGAGAAATTTCATCAATTGCCTTGGAGACACATAAAAAAGTACCTCTCTTTTCACTGCACGGTTCTCTTGGCGCAGCTGTTCTTGCTGCTCCTATTGGAAAGTTGAAAGAAAAAAAAAGATTCACTCATCACATTTAACCTTTATCTATATTATCGTATGTTGTGTATGACAATGATGAACATTTATGGTTAGTTACTTAGATTCGAGAAAATAAGACAATTTATTTAACGTCAAATACACATAGGGTGGTTACCAAGTCCCCTGAGCCACACGCTCGTGATATAGGTGTTTGACAAGCTTAAATCTAATAAGAATAAAAAACATACCAAAAGGGCTAAAAACTACAGTGTATTGTACAGTATATTGTTCAAGTCTAAGGGAAATAGAGGTAAAATGAATCAGATTTAAGCACGTTTGAAACTATTGATTGGGATAATAAAAGAGAGTACGAAAATTTCGTTTCAGTGACACTTTGATGGGATGCCCTGCCATTGCAGCGTTAACCACAGCAGCAGCAGCAGTAGGTTCGCCGGTACCCATTCATACTACTGGGTGGAAAAAGGCTCTTTGGGAGTAAAGAACGCAACAAGATGTTCCTGGCCAGGGTTCAAACCCGGACCGCTCGACTCGAAAGGCCAGCGCACTACCCATGAAGCTACCGTGCCTCCCATTATAACCGTAGGTCGACATTATGGACCTGAACAAATACAGCTCATGAAATCTACCGTACTCACCTTCTCCAGTAACAATTTCTCCATCATTGAAGCTGTTTTTAGGCACCAGAACGTTCCTAAGCAAACGTTTGAAATTTTCTAAGCCACTGAAAAAATCAGGATTGATTTCCCTTTTATTGTGGTTGATACTTTTCATCAGTTCCGGGTCAACTGTTGGTGAAGGTAAAGTGAAGGCCTCGAAACCAGGGAAAAAGCTTAAGATACTTTCTGCTACTTTCTGGCCCTCTTGAGCGACAGCCGATGAATCTTGCACTTTGAAGACCTAAATGAGGAATAAGCAATAGCATAGGTAATATCTATCAATTTGAACTTTTACAAGCAAAAAACAAAAAAACAAAAAACAAAAAACAAAAAACAACAACTTAGTGAGAAACACTTTCTATATGAAGTAGCTTATTATATTTTCGATCTCAGTTAATTTTCAACTGTAATGTGGTTAATTTTTTTGCTGGTTTATTATTATTATCTGTTTAATTTTTCCCTGGTCAAAAATTCCAGAAAGAAAACAAACCACGTATAGTAGAAATCAAAAATTATCTAGGATGTTTCAAGATCTTACTTAAAAGTTATTTACAACATGCATGTAAATAGCTAAAAGATCACTTTCTTCTCTTTGTGGGGAGTAGGATTGCCGAGCCCTAGATTCTTCTTCTTGAATGAAAGTGCTAAGAGAGGACACGGATGAAGCAAAATGTTTTTGTCAAACACATTTTTTTTTGCTATAACAACCTCAGAACGGGAGTTCTGAGCCCCGGCCAGTTCACCACTGTTATGGCACGCATCTATAAACACTAGGGGAAATGGTAGCAAATCTCCGACGCGTTAATAAAGTCTATGGATCAGGGATGGATAGGTAAATGGATGGATGGATGGATGGACGGAAATCTCTAAGGGAACTAGTCAAACCCCAGTCTAATTAGTACATGTATCCCTTGTGTACAACCGTATCTCTGAAAGAATGTCAAAAATGAGTTAAGTATCCGAAGAGGCCATAAAAACTTTAGCACTGTGCCGTTTGAGTAGGACAATATTTGACTGCCGCTCGTATTGCGAACGCAACCACAGTATGCAAGATTTTACTCCTAGTTTGACGTTGCAAGGGGCAATTGTCATCTACTAGACATGCGATTGCATATTCCAACATAATTATTATAAAATTGACTTTCACAAAAAAGCACTTGATATATATTAAGGGTGGAATAAAAAAGGACGAAAACTGGCCTGAATTACAGAATCGGAACGTCATCGATATGAGCTCTAGACAAATAGCCAAGACGACAAGCTGACTTGTACAGATCAGATGGCTTAAAAACTGAGTGTTGACTCAAGAAGAAAGACAATATTGCGTAAAACTTGGTTAATGGCTAAGACGGTGGACGCTATTAAGTCATTATTATGATGGTTGCTTACGATTTATGCTTATCCTACTTGCAAATGAGGAACTTTACCTTTTTCAAGAAGTAGTCCTTAATGCTGCTGCAGTCTTTTGGAATACTTTGCGTAACGTCCCTTAGCAACCATATGAAGTAAGGAAAGGTTTTGTGGAAATATTCTGAGTCGCGATGCCCTTTCCTGGTCCCCTGTGTCGTTTTTGATCGCATCTCAATGCGATGGGTCAGTTTCACAATAAAGCTGCATTTGGTTAAAGGAATAGAGTTACTTTCAAAATTTGCACTATTAGGACTCACTCTTCTCATAGTTAATAGAAGGAAATGGTTAGGATGGCCGGTAAACATCAAAGAAGCAAACAAACAGGCTAAGATTTATCTTAGAAGGCCCTTGACCCTGCACATCGTTTGTTTTATGCTGACTATGCATGAATTACATAATCGTAATGGTGGTTAGTTGTATGAGCACACATAACCACCTTTTGTATTTTGCCAGGTCTTGTGCTGGGTCAATCCCCAAAATAGCCAACAGAAACATACAACAAAGAATTTTGCCAGGTTTCCTAACCATTTCACTCTATTAACTGTGCTCTTCTTGATAAATTATGAAATGACCACATTCGCGGCAAGATGGATTATTAAGTACACATGATGATTACGTGTTAATCACCCTGTCAGCCAATAGGATCTGTCCGTTTCTGGAGAAGCACGAAATTATTCAATAGTTTAAAAAAAAGTCCTCAAACCTTCCATTTTCTCTTTACGCACCCCTCCCCCAAACCTCTTGCGATCGCCTTGTTCAGTCGCAGGTGGTTGTTATTTTTCTTGCGTCAACAACGATCTCAGAGAAGAGTAGAGCTACGGTTGAAAAAAGATGGAAATGCAGAGAAACGGAATATGTTATTTTTTTTTCAGTTTCAAGGACCTTATGTGTCCTCCATTATAGGTTTAGATAAAGTTTTTCTGACTTCATGGGTGTGTCATCATTAAGGATACTCCAATCCCTCTAGATCCCGTCTGGTTGGAACACCTTGTGAATTATAAATCAAAACTGACGCCAGCAAAACTGTTAAAGTGAAGATCTGGTTGTCATCAAGACCTTCACCATTCGCAGCATCAATTCCTTCAGAGTCCAGCAGCACCACTGTAAATTCCCGACCTTTCGAATCCTGTCCAAACAAAATCGCGTTAATGAGATTTCCTCACATAGATTCTTCATTTTAAATCAGGAAAAAAATCAGTTTTGAACCGTAAACGTTTCTGGCACAATCCATGTCCAGATTCCCATGGTTACAGGGTTCATGTGATAACCACGAGTAAACGTTTGAATAGGCACTTTGTGCCTCTGTTGCAAAACAAGTTTTCGTGCAAAACCTTTCATGCAGTGAAACCTGTATTAAGGGACATCCTAGGGACCCGCTTAATACAGGGTGTCCGCTCTAAACAGGTTCTAATATGTTGTGCGATAATAGTTAATTATTAACCCTTTTGTAACACAGTTTAACACAGTTTGAGATCAAAGACTGCTCATAGCACAATGTCCAGTCAGTCAATGCGCCAATGTGGAATAGTCACTTAGCTTTAAAATGACATCGCTGAACAATGTTAAAGGAGTCTCAGCTGAACCTTTAGAGGCAAAATGCCCTTGAAGTGTCCGCTTATTGCAGGTTTTGTGCAACAAAATGGCTAAATATTGGTGTCCGCGTCTGCTTAACAGTGGTGTCCGCTGAATGCAGGTTTATTTTACAGTAAATGTGGGAAGAAAATTTAGGGACTCAAGCTGGTGTCCACTTAATAGAGGGTGTCCACTTAATATGTGGTCCGCTTAATACAGGTTTCCCCGGTATGAAAATGAGTTTGATGTGCATGAAAATGAACATGTGGGTGGAACACATTTTCATATGAATGATTTCGCACTAAGATTCGTTTTGACTCAGAGGCAAAAGGCAACTCCGTAGTGGCCTATTGCTCACCCTATATTTTTCCGGTACAATCCATATCCAGATTCCCATGGTCTCGGCCACCATTTCATGTCCAAGCGGGAAAACCTCAGGCTGGTTAAAGGCTTCGCTTAGCGCATAAGACTTCCCCTTTCTGTAAGGTCCGGCAATAGAAACAACGCATACGGGACCTAGAAAATCAAAAGCAAAACGCTGCCGTTATTTTTCAACGCATCATAAGTAGACTGGTTAGGCTCTGGACAAATGTTTAGGGATGGCAACCTTGTTACTTTTATCTTAACGTTTATTTTGCCACTATACGAACAATGTATGCGGAATGACCCATTTCTTCCTCGACGGAATCAAGCTCCAATAGGCCAGTTTCAAATTCTAACATGGCGCCAAGGGACTAAAACAAAAGAAATTGTTTGTCCATTTCTCAACCTTATGATGGTTTATTATGACATGTTGGAATTTAGATATATCGAAACTTACCCGCCCACTAGGTCTTCAGCCAATAGTAAACAGTTTATTCCTAAGCAAATCAAGAATCAAAAATCTATATATACTTATTATTAGTGTTTACCCTAACCCTTAGATAGACTAGCATCTTATCTAATAGAGGAGACAATTCTTCACGTCGTCTTATGCAACGAAATCTAAAATAATCCGATTCTCCAATTTTTGCCCATTTCTAACAATGACTGTTCCTGTACTCAAGAAAACCATGCAAACGATACCGTATCGCGAATACTCTGACAATAATTAAATTGGCAGAAACTTTCAAGTTAGCCTGTAATGGGTTGATTTTCTCTAAATAGATTGCAAATGCTTGTAGTTTATTCAACGAATGGTATTTACCTTTAACCATCCTGAGG